AACGTGGCATCAGTGTTTGAAGTCACTAACTTCTAGTCTGAGCCATGTTGGTAGATGTAGACTACTTGAATGGGGTCCGCGTGACAATCGTAACCAACAGTTGGAGACTGTGTGTGACATGGATCAGAATCGATCACAATGGCGTCAGTGTATACATTCTCTGTCTTCCCTTAAACTATGAGATTAAAATCGCTTCATATCTTACTTTCTACGAACTAATTCTTTCTTACTGTACTATATCCTTATATGCCATCTTTCTTTCACATATTACCACCTCTGAATTAACTACATTTATGAATCCGGTGTCCATCTTGTTGTGTTAATGAGGTATGGCAACTTGGACCGATGCAAATATGTGTCTCGTCCTACGTTGTAGCTGACTGACTTTAAAAATAAAACAGATTAAAGTTGAAATCCGAAAATTGTCAAACTTTTATCGATTACTGGATTTTACAAAAATCGTGGACTGATCAATGTTAGATCACTATGGAAAACCTAAAATTACTAAAATGTTGTTTCGTCCTAGCATGAAACAAGTCAGAGGTGCAAAACTCAGTCCCATGGTAGCCGGTGACCAACAATTGGTTCATACGCCATTTGTTCCTTCAGGATACTGGAGCCCATGTGCACCATTGGTTTGGGATCAGGATTTTCCAACTCCCCTAGGTGGACTCACCATGTCCACCAACCCGGTTAAAGCGCCACGCATTCGGTTTTCGTCCTCTCAATTCCGTAAACAACACCCCGTCACGAGAGGGCAGTGAGTAGGACTTCCCTGGCAGAGGCTATATACACGTGGCCATGTGAAAGCATTTGGAGAGGAAGAGCAGACTCTCCCCACTCTCAGCCGTACCAAGGCATTTGGGGGCAACCAATTGAATACGACATCACACATATATCTTCTGGATTTCACTACTAATCACACTTCAAATATATTGATGATAAACAAATTTGTTTTTTTTTTGAAAATCTAAGGTAACTGTTTCAAGTTCCCTACCTGATTTACTTCAACAATTTATTGATACTATATAATGGTAATTACTATTCATTCGGAAAATACATTTCTTAGACACTTGTATTTCACTAATATAATTGAATATATTAAGTACTAGATTACAGCAGTAACTAAATTACATAGTTGTTTAGATCACCACCACTTAACAGTTTCATTGATTTATATCACCAAGTGATTAAGAAAAGGGTATTTACGCAAGTTAGAAACAAATATTTGAAAAAAAAACCCCGGACAATTCACTATCATTGTATCATAATGATTGTAGGATAACATTAAAAAATATAACCATGATGGTAATATAAACGATTTAAAACTGACCTTAAACAAAGTACATACTATAAACTGTTGTTATTATTACTATAATTATGAAAAACAATGCATGGTAACTATAAATTGTCTGATCAAATATTATGTTATTTATTATTGAAATTAGAATCCTTAAATATAGGACATATTGATATATGTGTGTGCTACTTATATTGACATAATTAGTAGATGATGTTAGTCGTCAACAGACTGTCTGACAGTAGAGAGACAAAGAGGATCGAATAGTAAAGAATAGAAACAGAATGCAATTTGTATGAAAATGCAAGAACAATGTATAAGTTAACCTTTATAAATTATCCATTCGACTACTTCTATCTAACGTGATCTAAACTATTTGAATAATGAAAATATTAATAAAAGTACATCTTTAAAGAAATCCGAATGAAACAATCTTAATATGATGTAGGCTACTTATAACTATCGACAGATATAAGTAGTATGTAACACCAATTAGAAGTGGAATGCCTAACAGTAGAAAGTTGAGAAAATCGAATTGAAGAGAATGAGAATATAGAGTCGTTTTCATGATAATGATGGAACGATGAAATTTGAGTTGATGAAGGATTTGTAAATGAAGCATCGAACGTATGGTTGTTACATTTTATTAGAGAACTCTGCAACTTTGTATTAAACAATAGATTAGTTTTTCTCATCTCAGTTCTCGTTCATTGTACTATCCCACACTATGAAGAAAAGTCAATGATTATGGAGTAATTTTCTACATAACAAATGGATATTAAGGGTAAGACGCTTGACTACAATTAACTAATTAACAAACGATGGAGAATAGTTTTGGCTGAGAATATGGAGTTTGTTCTCCACAACTACTCTAAATCAAAGGGACAACAGACAACTTAATTCATCCTAGTATAGGACCCCTCAGTACGGAATAAACTTAGGATTTTAAAGTTTCGCAAGAATAGAAATATTTCAAGACCACTTGTTATTGTATAGTCTATGTTCCTTGTTTTAGTCGATTACCAACCATCATTCATTGTTCTTAGTGACACATCTACCGGTGTGGTAATCTAAAGGTATCCCACTCATTATGCGGCCTGAATAACATGCGTTTAATCCTTGAATAAACTGTAAGTGTGATGATGATGTACATTAGAAGTTGAACAATCTCCATGAATCAAGTATGTTTACAAATTATTTCTTACGTTTACATGAACTTCTCTACAAAACTGTTATCAATGATGCAAAAAAAAAGAAAAACTTTTTAACTGCCTTATCCAAATATAAATCATGTTATATGTATCGATAAAGAAAACGAGAAAAAAATCAAGGTGAATCCCAATTGCTAAATATTGATTAACGTCCAAAACATTAATCTAAGCCTAATTGATCAATGTATACAAAAAAAAGCAGAGAACAACGTTAACTGATCAAATGCCTATAGGTCAATATCAAAGAAGATAGTTACTAGGAATGCGCGAAGATAAATGAAAAGAACAAAATCTATGAAGAATATAATCAAACAGGGGAGTATGTTATTCATAGAGTGAACTAGTTGAGCTTTCTTCCATGATGAATTAAGCATTGATGATATTTGCCAGAATAATCAATTAAGTTATCCAAATTAAAGAACACAATAAAATCAAAATTATCATACTTTTACTACTACAACATTGAAAATCAACTATTCCATACAAAATAAACAACAGTCAAGTTCATATATATATATACAAAAAGAAGTATAATCCGGTTAAACTTATCAACATATACATAGTTGTATATATACAGATTACAATACAATGGCACAGGACAGGGTTGGATGGAGAATGCTGGTGAGCGGCCTATGCTCCTTCACGAGGAGTAACAGGCGTTAGTAAGTAAGTACAATACAATGATGAAAACCATTAAAAAAAACAACAAAAACAAAATCTAAAAGAATCATGTTGAATACTTTAAAATTACAAATGTAATCATCTTTATCATTTGTTAAAATTACACATAATTACCTTTCTTTTATACAATTCATATAGTAACTATATCAAAGTCAATCAGTTAGCTACAAACATAGAACCAAGCACATATATGCATTGGTGTAAATTGTCATACCTTATTAACACAACAAAATAAACAACATTATATTCATAGAAATAGTTACTTAAATACAAAGAGAATTACTTCGATTATGTCATAAAATGAATACAACACATTATGATTGCTTTTTTTGTCCCTTCTTTTTTAAAGAAAAGAGATATCAAAACAAGATTGAATGAATATTCCCCCCCCTACCACCACCACCACTACTACTACCAAAAAATGAAGAGAAAAAAACCTAATAATTTCCTATAATTTGTTGATAGGGAATTATGTAACTAACCAAGTAATGACTCAAATGGGAAATAATGAGACAGAACAACAACAACAACAAACAAAACATTCGGTTTATAAAACAAAAGAAAACATTTCATTATTATTTGTCATCTTTTAAGGCGCTTCATCACATACAACACCCCACCCCCCGACATACACAAAGTAAAGGGATAATTGGCAAACACTTGAAATAAATTATAATTTACAGTTTAATGATAATCGTTTCTTTGTTTAAAATGACAAATGAAATAAATAGATCATTATCACAGGGATTAAATGTAAACTTTATCAATATAAAACTGCTATGATAAACATGAGATAATTCTGCTTCTTTTAAAGAAGAACCAAAAGAAAAACAGTAATCTCTTTCAAACCAATCACATTAAAATAGAAGATAAACCAGAAGAGTACAACATTAAACTTATGTATATATACATACAGATACAATATGAAGATGAATAATGAAACTTTATAAATTCACTAAATGACACTCAATGTAGTTGTTATCATATTTAAGACTATTGTTATTGTATATAAAACATTACAACATAAGTCAATCAGTCAGTCAGTAACAATGTAGAACTTGTACGTACGTACATCAGTTCGACTTGCCACACCACATGACAACATAGATGCAGTTGTCGATTCAAATCTCGTAGTGGTAGAGGTAATAGGAGTATAAGCAGTAATCGGAAACATTAGGACTTGAAGATGTTATTCAAGGAGTATAATACAATGAAATAAATTTGGAAAGAGGAAAAGAAAAGGGATATAGTGAATAAGGAAATTAAAAGTAAACTAACAAAACATTGATTTAAAGAGAAATAAACAATATATATATATATATTACTTAATATATTAATAGTAATAATGATTACCATTATTATCTTAGCCCCAGAGGGGTTCCAGGCGGAATCATTAGAGATGAAAACAAAATGAGCAACAATAAGAACAACAACAACAATAAAGCAAAAGAAAAAAATTACATAAATTAAAAAGAAAAAAAGAAAGAACATAAAAACTATGATGAATATTGGTGGTACACATATGAAGAACGAATAGTCTAATTGAAATGTAAAGCTTTGATAAAATAATAAGAATTGAGCATGAATTTGTATATAGAGATGCATGACAATCAACACAATTTGATTAAGGAATTCAATGAAAATTTCTATAATGAGATATATATGAAGAAATAAAAGTGCTTATGACATTATTATTATGCAGTAGAACTAAGTATTGTTATTATTAATAACAGTTAATGGTAGAAATAATAATCTATACATTTTTGATTAGTTACAGTTACAGATAGTTGAAGTTGAATTCATCAATAGCACAGTATATAGATGCAGAAACAAATAAAGCAAAAGATATGAATTTAAATGGAAGACAGATTGTGACAGAAACACATCTTAGTTACATATACATATATCACAGATGACTGAAGCGTGTCAATGATCGATATTACACTGATTGAGTATTAGTTGATATTTGGGCAAGAGTCATTTGCTAATGACTGATTAAATCCGGGAGATAATACTATTTCTGTGGATGATATAACAGGGTTAGTAGTATTATTTGTTGTTGGGGGTGAATCACACGTCACTGTCGGTGCAACAGTATTTTCTGATGAGAACAGAATTTGTGTTCTTGGCGCCGTTACTGTTGTTGTTGTAGTTAGTGAAGTATCCGGTTCTAAATTTAAAAGGCATGTAGGACAACTAAACGAACGCATAAGCCATTCATCAATACATATACGATGATAAGTATGTAGACAGGGCAAGTAACGTACTTCATCTCCAAGTTTTAAATCATTCATGCATATAATACACCTAAAATAGTAATTAATTACACAATATATATATAGGTCAACGGTTATTTATATAAAGTAATATAAAATTAGATTCAGTACAAGTGATATCCGGTGGCACAGAACTCCTAAATCGATATTCGCACGATAATTGTTAACCTACTACTGCAAATGTTGGATGACGGCTCGAATTCAGTTGGAACACATCACACCAATCATTCCTTTATTAAAAAACATAAGCCTGGGATGCATGTGCATCGACTTAATTTCCCATACCATATAAACACACAGAGATGAGTAATAGCTGCAGCTCACATTGTTATCGTTTTTCTAAATCTTGTGTCTTAATGTTTAATAATTTTACCTCTTTACTTCCACTCTAACTTTTATCTTTAGCTTTTTATCATCAATGATATTGCTATTACGACCCCTTTGTTTCTCATCGTACTAATTGCCTTCCTTGTTGTGCTGCTGTTAAAAGTGGGAGCGTAAAATAATGAAAATTTGTAACCCAGTTGAGTCACACTGGCCAAAACACTAGTTCCTTAAATTTTCAAGCACGCTAGGCATCATGGTTGGGAAGCATAAGCAGCAAAGACAAGGTCTGATGGCGAAGTTGTACTTCAGACTGTACAAAAGGGTGACGACAGTAACGTCCTTTAGACAACGTGTCTGTACCAAAAGTAGTCCGCCTGAACTTGTCCCACAGACGTTTTTCGACAGACGTGAGGCCTTAAGATTATGGAGCTGACACTCCGAAAACTATTCCAAAAAGTTTAAGTGGCATCAGGCTTAGGCAGTTATTCATCTGACCATGTAGTTGCGCTTTCAAACTGTCGAGACTACTGCTAATCCAGTTTCATTTTCTGCCCTCTCAATAATAGTTATCTACCCGCATTGAAGAAGTGGGAAGTGTCAACCGCTCTCATACTTCTAAAGGTACTTGAGATGGATAATGAACAAGACGCGAAATAAGCACATATACATAAATTTTCTTACTCTCTTAATTTCTCCTTATTCACAGGTACATAATTTGTTAGAGGAAGAAATTGAAGCATGTGAATACGTTTAACAATTTGTATTTGTTCCTCCTCTGTCAGATCGGATGCAAGAATAGGCAAGCCTGGACTTATATGATAAATAGGCACCTGATGCTGTTATTTTCAATGAGAAAAAAACGAACACAACAAAGTTAGATATAAAATAAATATGGTAACTGTGTGCGTTAACTAGATGACATTGAAGTGAAAACTCCCGACCATAGCAGCTACATTGACGTGGTGGTCGGGCTTGTTTATAGTAATAAACTAATCGAGCTACATTGCCTGAAACAACCGTTCCTCAAGGTCCTAACATGTCAGACAGGTCGGTTGAAGAGCTGTAAAACTAAAAGTGGCGAACCCAAGGTCCGAGGCCGAAGTCGTACTGCTGATTGTACAGAGGTGTGATAGCAGTAAGGTGTCTCCTCCAGACAACCAGCATAATAGCGATGTTGCCTTCCCACAAGGAAGGGTGGGGTTAGAAAGGGTCGATCCTAAAAATGCACACTTAACCTTATTCCACCGATATTCGTCTCCGGCAGCAAGGTCTCAACAAGTACGGTATCTCTAGAAGAACCCCTCCAAGGTTGGGCAGCCGGGGAGCGATAACCACCCTCATGCCTCTAAAAGCACTCAAGATCACTGACTGACTGAAGTAAAAACTAGAACAGCAACTCATAAGGGACGAATGTGCTTTTACTGGTAATACCATGAGACAATAATCAATCCATTCCATCATGTACAATAGACCATTCCTTTCCTTCTCGACTATATGTTAGATGTTACTATTTTATATCTCTTTGCTTCTTGTCTACTGATATTTTTTTTTTAGCTTTTTTTTATTTACAGTTAGAAAGCTCAAAGCCTGAGAACAAACAGAAATCCCGTGTTATACATGTCTTACCAACGAGTGATGAGAACTCCGAACCTACTTTCTAGTGAATTCAAATTCATATAATACTAGATACTTATAGAGCGATATCAGCAAATAGCTAACACAGACTTGCGACCTCGTACTTAACGATTAAGTTTGAATCTGATACTTGTATAGGATGTGGAAAAATGGGACGCGAGAAACACACGGCAGTCCTATGTCAAAATTTCATGGGGGCATTAATGCACTTAGTACTAATCGGGAAAATTAAGCATTACGGATAAGAATTTAGATAGGAATTGACTGATCACTTGGTTCATGCCGTCTTCTACAAAAGAGGATATCGAATATATAATTATGTGAATCATCTCCGTTGATCATCTTTTGATGAAATTTAGGGCTGACTTAAGGAAAGATTTCCGCATATTTTAGTCGTTTAAACTACAATAACACGAGATATAATTGTAAGCAATCGACTTGCATCTGTCTAGGGCTTTCATCCTGATCATCTTGAGTTTCGTAAACCTCTTGATCCAGAAGGTAAGAACTTTCACTTCGGAATCCAAAACAATTCCCCATAATATTTATGTTAGATTATGCATGTCGAAATCATGGTGTGAAAACTTGGGATCAAACAACGCGCAGTGACCTTCAGTCTTCGGTAATAAGGATAGGTCTATCAACCTATATTAATCGTTGCAGTCTGTAACACTGTGGGGTGCTCCAATCTCGTTTGAATATAATAATGAAATGTGCTGGTATTACGTGTTCTGGTAGAGAATTCCAGTAACTCATCACCTGATGTGAGAAACGGAACTCCAGACCCAGACTATTTGATCTCGGTTGTTGAACTTTCCTAGTCATCAGTTTCAGTTTCAGTTTGGGAAGGACAGGAGGCCCGATGGCCTGTGTTAGTTTTGGCAATGGTGGTCCCTCAGTTGATCCAACTTTCTTTTGAAAGAATCGACGTATAGAGCCCCAACCACGTGCTGAGGTAATGAGTTCCACTCGTTGATGATTCGATGGGAAAGTCGATAGTCAGCTGACAAGTAATTTGTTCTTGGCCTGTGAACTTTTTTGGAGTGTCCTCGTAAATTCTCTGTTTTGAAAGACAAGAAAGTGAGGGCATATCAGGTGCAAATTTGGCACTAAGCAAATTGAAAACTGTAATCAAGTCGCCTCTAGTTCTGCGATATGACAACGGGAAAAGGTCCAGCTTGGCCAGTCGAGCTTCATACGGAAGCTTCGCTATTCCGTGAATCAGCTTATTTGCCGTTCTCTGAACCTTTTCAGAAGCTCACTGTCTTTTTTTAAGCGGGGGTTGGCCGCTAGTATGCAGTACTCAAGTTTAGGACGAACGAACACTGTACACAAAGTCAAAAACGTCTTAGCGTCGACATGACTAAAAGCCCTACGTATTGACCATAACGTTCTAAAACCTTTGGCGGTTATTGCACGGCAGTGTGCAGTAGTCTTTAAGTCTTGGCTAACGATGACTCCTAAGTCATTATATGTCTGGACGACAGTCCTAGACGGAATGAAAAGATAAGATATATTGATATCAAGGTCATTGTTCAGTATACGATAAGCCAATATCAGATCATCCCTAAACTGCAGTAAGTTAACGGAAATAAATTTTGGTATCTCAGTCTGTCTTCATGAGACAGGCCAGAAAGATGTTTTACCATTTTAGACCTTAGTCGTTGGACTCGTCTCAGTATATCCGCTTCATGCTTGAAACAAGGGTTCACTGCTTGAATCTTATATTCCAAAGTGAGGTCTCACGAAAGTCGGGTGTAATAATCTAAACGTTCGTTCGTCCAGATACTGAAAAGACCTACGAATAGTCCATAACATCCTGTAGTCGTTTGCACCAGCACCCTTACAGATACTCGTAGTTTTGTGACGGCCGCTTATTATGACTCCTAAATCTTCATAGTCCATTACTTTGGGTAACATAAGTCCACGTATTGTGCAGTGATATGAGTCATCATAATTATTTAATTGCATCACCACACTCTCGTTAGAATTCACTTCTAGTGACGATCCGTCCATCTGTGCCATTAATGAGTTGCGATCATCCTGTAATTCTATAGCCCAGTTTTCTCCTAATGATCAGTATCTTTTTCAGATTGGAATTTGTGTGTATTGAGAACAGAAGTCTAACGTCCTGTGTTACCAACTTTCTAGTAAGCTTCTATTAGCTTCTAGTGTCAACCAAAGGTGCAGCCACTACTTCATCGGGTAGCAAGTTCCAAGAATTGATGGCTCAGTGCGAAACTTGTATACCAAGGATACTTTGTCCGTCTTTGAATTCTGAAATCCTTTATTATTTCCTACAAGCTGTCATGACCTATAAGGAATAAATATAGGGATATATTAGGTCAAAAACCATCTTTAAGTGTTCTATACGTCAAAATCGGTTCACCTCATGAACTGAGGACGGACAGAGTAGAGAGTTGTGACTTCCAAAGCCGTCCTGTGTTTAGTGAATTCCAGAATTCTGTGATCACATAGATAACTATCCTCTGATTTTTAGCAAGCTCATCTAGTCACCTTTTAAATGGAAGCTTGCGGCCTGAAATCACTTATTAAGTGTGAATCTCATTAAGGCTATATAGTCGTGGTGAACATACTTGTATCGAACTTGATAAACATCCGTCTTTAAACAGTTTGATAACGCCTTTGTCTGTAAGACCTTTATAATATAAAGATAACAATCCAATCTAAGCGGAAGTCAGGGACGAAATAGTTCGTGAATGTATCTGAAAGGTTGTCACTTAGTTGAGAAGCGTTTGATCCAAGCTTGCTAATTGGTGTAAGGGATACTTAGCTAGACGTAACCACTCGTGATCTAGTATGGCTGTGTGACCGAACGTATTCAGCTAGGGTGCTTCCGGTAAAGCTAATGGGGCCAAGGTCAACAGAGCTATCTGTTTTAAAGAATCATCTACCCATATGAACACATAGGGTTGTGAACCCCTTAGCTGCGACCGCGAGACAGTGTGCTGTTGTCTCAAGATCGTGGCTCACTATTTTCCCAAGTGTTGCGAGACTTGAAAAAGGACATTGATATTCCTTAACGCTGTAGCTGATTATTGTTGCATTTTCAATGTGCATACAGACACACTTATCATTGATGATAGGCCTCAACTATGTTTTAGACTATCTAATCATAACGTCTAGTTTCACCTGGCGTGCACGTACATTTGCCTCCCAAACTACTTCTCACAAACTCCCAACGTTATCAAAACAAAGTAGCATTCGGAACTCAGAGATACTCATTAGTACATTTACATATGGCACAAAAAGTAAGAGAGCCAGAACAGGACTTTGCGGTATTCCCACAGGAACTGGTTTTCACTAGAAAAACTTGGAATTTATGTCCAATTTCTGCTTAGGACCTACCAGAAAAGTTTTGGTTCACTTTAGAAGAGGTCCGGTAATTTATGAAGTTTCCAGCTTCGAAAGAAGTCTGTTTTGTAGAACCTTATCAAATACTTGGCTTATGTCAATTTTGACAATATCAGCTTATTTCCCGTTATCATTAGAATCTGTCAAAAATTTCTTGCTATAAAGAGGTTAGCGGTGCAACATAATCCTTTCCTGAAGCCATGTTGTTCACTGTTTTGTAAGTTTCTGGTTTCCGCAAAGACGTAATGGCATAGTATTTACTGCGAAAGATGTGAGGCTGATGAGATCGTGGTTTGATGAAAGTTATTTAGTGTGAGAGTTGCCTCCTTACAGTCTCTAGGTAACATCTACTCAAACAGAATCTAGGATAACGTAGTTAGCGGGTCAGTGTAATTTATCTTACAATGTTTGGGTGTAGTTGACCACATCATGTCGATTTTTCTGTCTGAAGTGCTTGGTGCAAATAGTACGTCCGATGTGAGTGGCCAAATAAGTGATATTCGCTCTCGGGTGAGTTCTTGGTCTAGAGAAGGTTCATGAGTTAAGACTGCATTGAAGTAATCTAACATGACTTCTACTTTGCCCTGGCCTTCCTCCATGGTTTGAGAGACACTCTTTTCAGTAATTAAACTTGGAATCTATGGGTGTGCTTTTTTTCTGTGGTCGATCCATGAAACTAACCGCTTTAGTTGCTCCATCACAGACTGCGGCAATTTATTTTCATATTCCT